AATAAAAAGGGCCGGGGATGTAGTTCAGTGGTAGAGTATGTACCACTCCCCCCCAAAAACAACAACAACACTGGTTTACCAGTTTAAGAACTTCCATCAAATGCTCCTTCCTACTTTTGCCTGGAGCTTTCCAGACATATCAAATCACTGTAACAAAATACATTGTTACAATATGAAAACAATTTATCCTTTGTTAAACCTCTTTCATTCCAAAACCCAAATCAAAGGCAAATTTTAGATTTACTGAAGTTTCTTTCTGCAAGGCTAAAAAGCACTGATTTCAGTTTTTAAAAGCCTGTGTGAAAAAAAAATTCTAATTTTTATATTATAGTTTTATTCTCTATACATTGTCACAGTAAAGAAACGAAACAAAACTTGCCAACTATAACTCATACTCTAAAAAAGTAGACATCAGAATTTAGATGATATGTTGTATTCTAAAAATCAAAATGATCAAATTTGAAGAGTAGGAAAGAAATATTAAGAGATCATTTGGCTCTGGTGTAGCTCAGTGGTAAAATACATGCTCAGTTCAAGCAAGACCCTAGGTACAATTCCAGGCAACCCGCTCATCAAAAAAAAAAAAAGTATTTTGCAGGGACCCCAAGAAATCTACCAATAGTAGGTGACATGGAGATAATGAGAAGAATCAGTTTTCACTAAATTTCATTTTGTATCTTTTGAAATTTGTACTATGTACAGTTTAAATATATCTATTTGTTATTGTATCAATTTATTATAAATCACTGAAGGAATCCAAAGAAGCCCTCATTTCTAGAAGAGAAAATTCTGGCCAAAGAAGTAGATAACCTGCTCAGAATCCCACTGCTGAAGGGCAAAAGGCTGACAGGAGAACTCAGAAACAGTGAAAGCTTCCAGTGCTCCCCTCACCATAATGCTTTGTTTATGTTTGTGGCAAAACATCAGGTGCCATCTTACAAAGAATAAAAGTATCACCATCCTCCAGTTCAGAACAGTTCTTTCAGAAATCATGGTGACTGGTACAATAGTAACACTTAATGTTGTCACAGAAGATTCTATGGCAAAGGGACAGACATGACATCTTCATTAACAAGTCTCCTACCAGGCTGGGAATGTGGCTCAGAGGTACAGCATTTGCTTGGCATGTGTGAGGCCCTGGGTTCCATCTCAGTTATCCAAACCTCCCCCAAAAAAATCAACTCCTAAAAAGTAAGTTAATAAAGAGGGAGGAGGTATGGTTCAAAGGTGCTCAGTAAGTACAAAGTTTTGGGTTGAATTCCCAGCACCACCGGCAAAAAAATAAAATTAAATAAAGACAACACGTGTGGACAGTATGCCCTCTCTCAGGCACACATAGATTCAAGCCTTTAAGCAGGCTAGGAAATTTTTTTGGCATTCATTATTACTGACAGCAAGTATGTCTGACTAGGCAGAAGATATTTAGTATTTAGTAGTACAAGGAGTTTATTCCTGGTGAACTGATTCAGAGGAAAGAGCAATAGCAGCCTACAGGAAATTCTAGTTTGAAAGAAGACTTCATTCCACTGCAGAGATACTCTTCAACAGGGAACTAAGGGAATTATTCAGACCCTAAACCCCTCAAATACTGTGAAGCAAGGCAGCTTCAGCTCCTCTGAGGAATTCAAGCATTCTTTCCCTTTTGGTAAGAACAAGCATTAGCTTTTTCTTTCAGTGGGTACCAATGCCAGGAAAACTGCAGAATTTCCATAGGAAAGAATAAGAGAAGCCAGACATTAAAACCATCGGAAAAAAAACTATCTGAATCAGCCTGACTGGAACAGAAAGACCTTGGAAGAAAGTTGTTAAAAAGGACTATTCTTTCCGTTTTAGAGCTGTGTGTGGCCTTCAAATTTGTAGAAATACATGTATGTTAGATATTGTTAGTAACAAGACTGGCATAACTTCCAGTCAGAACTACTATTCATATTTCTAAAGAGAAACTATGGCATATGGATAAACCACAGACCAGGACTTTCTTAGATAATTCTAGGTCACAAGGTCACAACACACTGAAAACCACATCTTCAATTCCGTATCACTTACAAAGGCCAGAGAGAACTCAAGTCCCAACACTAGATAACCCCTATCGTATCTAGGGAATTGATATTATAAAATGCCTCACCTCAACAAATGTCCTGAGTGTAGTTTCAAATCCCATCTCCAATTTTCACTACATATTTTAGACATAAGAAAAAACAGTTGAAGTTTGTTCATTAACAATGTTTCTACTTTATTGTAAATAAATCTGCCTTGTAGTAAAATAGTCACATAATTCAAATGAAAAAAAAAATCACAGGAAACTTAAAAAGTCAATTATCCTCCCAGGGAAAAGTATTAATACTAAAATCTCTATCAATGTATTTAATCAAAAACATTAAATGACCAGGTGTGGTGTCGGGCTGGGCAGATAGCTCAGTTGGTACAGTGCTTGCCTTGCACGCACAAGGTCCTAGAGGGTTCAATCCCCAGCACCACAAAAAAAAATAAAATAAAATTATCAGGTATGGTGATGTACATATGTAATCCCAGTGACTCAGGAGACTGAGCCAGAAGGATAGAAAGTTCGAGGCCAGCCTCATCAATTTAGCAAGACTCTGTCTCAAAATAAAAAATTAAAAGGGTGACTCAGGGCACAGTGGCGCACGCCTGTAATCCCAGCAGCTCAAAAGGCTAAGGCAGGAGGATTTGCTAGTTCATAGGCAGTCTCAGCAACTTTGTGAGGCACTTAGCAATTCAGTAAGACCCTATCTTTAAATATTTTTAAAAGGGCTGGGGATGTGGCTCATTGGTTAAACACTCCTGGGTTCAATCCCTGTACCAAAAAAAAAAAAAAAAGGATTGAGATGTAGCTCAGTGGTAAAGCTCCCCTGGGTTCAATTCCCAATACCAAAACAAAACTAAACAAACAAACAATAACAACAACAACAACAAMAAAAAAACAACTTAAATAGGGCTGGGGTTGTAGCTCAGTGATACAGCACTTGCCTAGCACGTGTGAGGCACTGGATCAGATCTTTGGCACCACATAAAAATAAACACAACTAAAACTAAAATAATAAATAAAAACAAGCATTAAATACATAAACAGAAGTCGAAACCCCAAGACACATTCACTCCTTCTTAGCAACAAATGAGTTAAAAAGTGATAAAAATGCCAGGAGCAGTGGCACAGGCCTGTAATCCCAGTGGCTTGGAAGGCTGAGACAGGAGGATTGCAAATTCAAATCCAACCTTGGCAATTTAGTGAGACTCTGTCTCAAAACAAAAAATAGAAAAGGTTGAGGATGTAGCTCAATGGTAAAGAGCCCCTGGGTTCAATCCCTGGTACCAAAAAAGAAAAGATAAGTTGCATTAACTTTACCTAGGTAACTAACATTACCCTAGGGCAAGAGAAATATTCAGGGAGTCACACATTTCCCTTGATGTCAATTTTAAAAATTAAAGAGCTGGTTTCTTTGATAAGAAAAAAGGGAGAACAAAAAAAATTTTTAATTATATCTTTAAGCTTCTGGTCCAATAAATTTTTAAAAATTGCCTCATTGCCACAATATCAAAGTCAATTCCATTTTCCCTCCAAAATCGTGAGTCATATCAAACATTTGGTGTCCATGAAAACAGCTGCTGTTTAAATTCATTCGATTAAAAATTGAGTTCCCAGAGGCTGTGGCTCAGTGGTAGAGTACTTGCCCAGCATGTATGAGGTACTGGGTTGGATCCTCAGCACCACATAAAAATAATAAATGAATAAAGATATATATGTATATTTATATATGTATATTTGAGTTCCCACTCCTAAACAAGTATAATCTAAATTCAACCAGAAAAGCTGAATACCAACTTTACCTATCCTACAGTTCCATGCTCACACTTAGTAAGTATCAATTTTTTTCTCAACTTGGGGTAAAAAAAAGCACCGTGAAATTTCACGAGTGTAGCTATTAAGTACACAGAACCTGATGAAAAGGGAAAATGGATGTCCTATACTCGAACCTCTCCTGTGTGACTTTTCCAAAAAAAAAATGGTTTAAAATTGTTTATATGCTAGTTTATTATTTTTTAAATTTTATAGTTGTTGATGGTCTTTATTTTAGTTATTTATATGTGGTGCTGAGAGTGGAACCCAGTGCCTCACTCGTACTAGGCAAGCGCTCTACCACTGAGCTACAATCCCAGCCCCACATATGCTACTTTAAATAAGACTAAACCCTTACTTGCCAAATCTTAACTTGCCCCAGTAATGGAATAAAGAGCTAAGCATATAGTCGTCTTCTCTCAGACAATGCCAAAGTTTTGAGTCAATAATTTCACACGACTCTCCATTAACTTTCCATGAACCTAACTAACAAGAAAATAGACAGGCTGAGATTTCAAATCATTTCTTGCTCTTCTTCTGGCGGAGGCAGAAAGAGGGGGCACGGCAGAGAAAAAGGAGCCCAAACAAGGGGTATTCGAAAATAAAACAGTCCTGAGTGAGGGACAACTACTGGAAAACAGAAGAAAAAGAAGAACTTTGCATTCTCAGTCCTCAGACTCCGTTCCAGAATTCAGCACTACTTGCCAAAAGCAATGGCATTAGAGCAAATTACTAAATCTTCCGCTTCGACTCCCCGACACTTTGTCCAACCACTCTCAGTTATGACACTCCCAGGCAGTGTGCTTGCCGAGCGGTGCTAACGCATCCCAAGTAAGGGAAATCTGAGGCCCAGAGGGGGCACGGCGAGCTTGTAAAGAAAACTCCCAGAGTTCGCAAGCGGGGACCCGAACAGAAGTCTGCTCACGGTACAGGCTGCAGAGCCGTCTCTTCTGGGCTTCACCTTTAACAAGGGTGGTCCACCTGGGACTGGGGACAGAGGGCTCCCTCCCGCCGCCGCCTCAGTCCCTCGGGATGCGACGCGAGCCCCTACCCTCTGCCAGCAGAGCTCCGGGACAAGACCTCCACCTTCTCGCTTCAACCCTCCGCCCCGCTCAATAGGATACAACCGCCATCCCTTTCTGACCTGTCCCCGCGGGGTCCGAGTCCGTAGTGCGACGCCTCCATGCCGGCCGCTTCACCAGCAGCACCCACCACCAGACCCCAGGACGCCGATGCTAGGGTGGCAAGTCTGGCCGGCAGCCGGACCCCGCCCCCTGGCAACCACACCCCGCACTGTCGCCACCGCCTATTGGCCCACAGACCGGCCGCTCCTCCCTCATTGGCTATTGGTGCCAGCCGGCGATACGGGAGGGTTTCTAGGGGGCGGGAGGAGCGCGGGAGTTAAAGGCGCCTGCGCAGGGGCGGGGATGACACGCCTGGGCTTGGTCCCCTGGAGAGCCCCGCCGGGCAGGGGGCCACTACCGAGGGCCGAAGTCTGTGATCTCAGTTGCCTTTGCTCCGGCTTGCTGAGGAGCGCCTCAGTGGGAGGAGCCCATCCCCCAATACCGCCACACGCAGCGGCTTCCCGCACCCCACGGTGTACCAAGACCACCCAGAGTGCTTCCAGGAGTCTGTAGGTCTCCATTTACAAAACCTCTACAGACAGCTTCTCCGTAGTCCAGTCCTTTCTTTGATACCAGAGGCCTTCCTGGAACCACGCCTGTGCCTTCACTGCACAACACTCTTTCAGCCTCCAACTACTACAGCCCAAACTTCTTGATCATCCCCAAACCTGCTCTGAAAACACACCAGAGAATCCATCTACCTCTCTACTGCCTGTGGATCTTCTTCAAACATTTCAAACATCGTTATCCAAGAGAGCCACTATCTAAACTTGGTAAACTTATACTCTTGTTTCTAATAAATCACGTACCCAACCATCATTCCTTTCTCGTTACCAACATAGCATTAGCATTATAGCCCCCACAGAACTTCCTAACAAAAGTTACTTACACATAGACTACTAGCATTCTGAGGTCAAAGTTTGCACATTCGTTTTGAATCCAGAAGTTAATTTGTTAAGGAGAACTTTGGAGAACACAGCATTACACTCACTGGGTCAGCTTCCACTCACTGGGTGACACTGAACATGGTTCATTTCTTTGTTGTCCTCTCCCCCGCCACCCAAATGGGGGATGGGTCCCAGGGTCTCAGCTTGCCAGGCAAGTGCTCTACAACTGAAGCACATCCCCAACCCTTGTAGTTCATTGTCTATGCTTTAAATTCCCATCTATAAAATAAGCAAAACCTGACAGAGTAGGCTTATGTAAAGGCTAAATGATGGGGTTGAATGCGATCACATTTGTATGAGTAAAATGATGGCTGAGACATTTCTTTGGGCAGTCCTTCTGCATTAATTACCATAAACAGTATTCTTTGAAAACTTTCCATATTTATTTACCTCAGTTTAAATCCTTAGCTTAAGAAACCATTTTTCTACCCTATTTAATTTTACAATTTCTTTCAGTTGGAAACAAAAATATAAAACACAAGCAAACCTAAGTGACTATAGTCTGTGACCCCTTCATCCCATTGTATTCATGAAAACAAGGCTTGCTCCATTTCATCTTGCCTTTTCAGATGAGCCAAAGTTGGAGAGGTGGCAGTCAACCATAAAAACTCTGAGTTTCCTTTGACTTTTTTCCATCCATTAAGTCAAAGAGGAAGCTGCCACTGAGCCTCAGAGTTAGTACTCAAAAAATGTGGACTGGGCTGGAGTTGTACAGTGCTGACCTAGCATGAAGAAAAAAAATCCCAGCACTAGGGGGGAAAAAAAGTGGAATTAATTAATTTAAATGAGATAAAGGATTAAAGAATAGTAGTTAAAAGAAATAAAACCTTTTGTGGCTAGGCAATATTACCACAATACTAACAGAAGCAAAGTTCTCTAAGAACCTTCTGTAGCCCTTTATTTACATACATTTTAAACAGTTAATGCAAGATATTTACAAATTTTAAACAATAAAAGAAAAATATGAAGTGAATAGTTCATGACACTAAATTCAACTGTTTATGAAATATTTTAAATTTGGGAATTGAATTCCCTTGCTAGGGCTCTAGTTAAAATATTTTTTCTGTTGGCACTATTTCTATTTTATTCTTTCAATAAAGTCTGTTATAAACCAGAAAAAATGACTTCATGAAAATTAGCAATTTCTGAGACTATGATGAGAGAACATGATGTCTGAGAAATCCAGTCAGCTTTTCACAAGGAACTGGCTACTGTTCAGCTTCCCTCTCTCCTTGAGGTAAGTCAACAGGTGCCTTCGTCTCCTCCATGTGACCTTTATCCCATACTTCTCTTCAGGGGTGTCTTTAACCAGAATAGGTCCAGGTTCTGGGCTGGTAGGAGTACTAGTTTGAAGGACACAGCTTTCAAGGCTGTTTTCCCTCTGATCTGGGGAAAAGGAGTTCTCCTTCACAGATGATGACTCTGGGGTCTGGATATCAGGTGGAATGAACACATAAGGAAAGTTCTGAAATGCATTTGCTGACAGTTCCCCACAGCTTTGGGGACTGAGCACTGGAATTAAGGGTTTTCTGGAAATGTCCTTTCCTGATTGATTGGGGCACCCCTTTACTAAGGGGATCCCCAGTGTCTCTGAACTGGAAGACAGCTGTGGACTCTCAAAGGTTAGACATGGAAACTTGCAGGTAGATTTTCGGCTTGAATGTCTTGCTTGGTCTTGGTGACGATGTTTCCGGTGGGCTGGGAAACAGCTTTCTACTGTTGTGTCAAACTGAGGTGTTACCTAAGGATCAAAAAAAAAAAGTGAACCAACTAGGCAAGAAAATGACATCCAAAGAGCAGAACCCTAAATGCGGTCCCACTATAGTAATGGACACAGAACAAAAATAGTTATCTGGTAAGACAATAATAATAAGATAAAGGGGTCAAGGGTGTGGGCTCAGTGGTAGTGTGCTATACCTAGCATGCATGAGGCCCTGGGTTCAATCCCCAGCACCACAAAAATATGTAATAATACTAATAATGGTAACAACAACAACAATAATAATAGAATATGAGCTTTAGGCAAGTTATTCAATCTCTCTGGTTTCAGTTTCCTCCTATATAAGAGAGAGGACAATGCTTCTTTCACTTTATCACATCATATAGCTACAAATGTTTAACTGTCTTTAAACTTCATGAGGGCAGGATTGGGATAGAGCACATACTTAGCATGCTCAAGGCATGGGTTTAATGCCTAGTTCAAAAACAAAAAGAAAACAAAACAGGGCCGGGATTGTGGTTCAGCGGTAGAGCGCTCTCGCCTAGCAGGGGTGGGACCCGGGTTCCATCCTCAGCACCACATAAAAATAAAGGCGTTGTGTTGTGTCCAACTACACCTAAAAAATTAAAAAAAGAAAAAAGAAAACAAAACAAAACAGAAATCATGAGGCAACAACCAGTAATCTTTTTCACCACTGACTTTCCAACATCTTGCAAAGTGCCTGACACACAGAAGGCCTTAAGTAAATAAATGGCAGACTGCAAGAACAGGGCACGAGACATATACAGAAAGTAACTAACATAGGACCTGGCACACAATGAGTACTCCGTAAGTGTTCATTCTCATCCACAGAATTTTAAACTAGGTTGCTTCTATAATAATGAAGTAATATGCTTCTTCCAAGCTGTCCTGATCAAGTCATATTTATTAAGCACTGTTAAGCACAGCATATGCTCTTGGCCTTTTTACTATACTATTTCTGTTATATAGTAGCTACATTTTCTTCCTGGATCTCCACCCACTACCCCACCTCCTTTTTTGTGCTAGGAATTGAATCCAGGGCCTTGTGAATACTAAGCAAACCCTCTACCACAGAGTTACATCCCCAGCCTCACTAAGGCAAATATGGTATGTGCCATTTTGGGTGATTTTTTTCTTTTTGTCAAGCTTCAATCCATTAAACAGTGGACAGAGTACTTAGCTAAATACTCTATCTTTGACATGAAGTTCAGGGAACAGTCTCATTTTTTATTTGACTGCCAATGGTCTGGTTTCTGACCTACTTACTAGGAAATGAAACTTTAACACCAAACTTTTGCAGAGGAATGTGGTAGTAAAGACTCCAATTCCATACCTGGGTCTGACCTAAGAAAAGAAGATATACCAGGGAAGATGGCTGACCACAGGAAAGCATACATTACTTTCATGGACCTTATTCTTTGGAAGCCCTGGTTCAAGAAGAGTTGACATTCTTTTTTTTTTTCCTCTCTTTGTTTTTTTGGTACTTGGGACTGAACCCGAGGCACTTAATCACTGAGTAACATCCTCAGATCTTTTTATTTTGAGATAGGATCTCACTAAGTTGCTTAGGGCCTTGCTAAGTTGCTGAGACTGGCCTCCAACTTGCAATCCTCCTTTCTCAGCCTCCCTAGTTGCTGGGATGCCACCATGCCCAACAATTAAAAGTTGACATTCTAAAAAGCCTAACCGTAAAAATCAAAGTAAGGATCCCTTACCCAAGAAGTGATAGTGCTGTGGTCTATAGGCTTGCTGGGCACCTGTCGAGTGTGGGTGATGGGCCTCTGTGGAGCTCCATAGTGATGTTTGGGGCCCTCCAGTGGCTGCTGGTGGAATAACAGCTGAGCTTTGAGGGAAGATTGGCCGCGTCTTCTTTTGGGAGGCATCAATAGGTGAATGAAGGGCAGTTAGTAACCACATGGTGCTGGCTGCCTTTGGGTTGTGGAGTAGGTTCCAATTCAAACCCATGCCTGCAAAGAAACAAAAGCTGTGAGAAAACAATTCAGATGATTCCCCAGCTCTTCCTGATATCCTGCCAGTCAATTCTACCAGAAACTACCACCTTGACTTCAAAAGATTGTGAGGAGCACAGGGTTTTTTTTTTTTATTTTTTTTAAAGTTGTAGATGGACACAATATCTTTATTTTTATTTATTTATTTTCACGTGGTGCTGAGGATCAAACCCAGGGCCTCATGCGTTCAAGGCAAGCACTCTATCACTGAGCTACATTCCCAGCCCAAGCATAGCCATTTATTTTTTTAAAAATTTTGATTCAGATTCTTGCTAAATTGCTTTGGGACTCACTAAGTTGCTAAGACTGGCTTTGAACTTGTGATCCTCCTCAAGTCCCTCAAGTCACTGGGATTATAGGCAGGCACCACTGCACCCAACAACCACAGCTTCTAATACTAATACATATACCACCAAGCAAAAACACAGTTTTCATATCCAACAAGGCTTATTCAATAAATATTTATTGAGCTCATGTTAACTGCCATATTGGACGCTGGGAATATAAAAAAAAAGAATATTTATTCAACAATCACTTATTAAATGCCAAACTCTTGGAGCAATACAGAGGTTCCTATCTTAAAAAGAGCTCAGAGTTGGACAGTAGCTTAGTGGTAGACTGCTTGCCAAGCATGCATGGAGATTGGATTCCATCCCTAGCACTGCAAAAAAGAAAAGGAACTGAAAGTCCAGCAGAGAACAGACATTTTCAACACAAACAGTACAATATATTTCAATATAATGTTTTTTTTTTTTTTAAGAGAGAGTGAGAGAGGAGAGAGAGAGAGAGAGAGAGAGAGAGAGAGAGAGAGAGAGAATTTTTAGTATTTATTTTTTAGTTCTCGGCGGACACAACATCTTTGTTGGTATGTGGTGCTGAGGATCGAACCCGGGCCGCATGCATGCCAGGCGAGCGCGCTACCGCTTGAGCCACATCCCCAGCCCCTCAATATAATGTTACCATTTGCTTCATGAGAGGCTTTCTGGACAAGGATATTCCTGACCTATGAATGGAATGGCTTGGAGAAGCAAAAGGCAGGGAGCGTTTTCCAGCCTGAGGAACAGCATATACAAAGCCCATCTTGGTAATTCGGGAATTATAAACTCAGTGTGGGTGGGTACGGAGTATGAAAAGAAAGGGGAAGAAATGAGGCTGGACATGTTGTCAGTGTCAGGTAGAAAAACCAGGTGAAACCATAGGATTTGGACTTGAGCCTGAGTAGTTGAGTATTTTCAAGCGAAGGAATATGATCATATTTGGCTTTTCTTATTTTTTCATCCCAGATAATTTCAAATATAAATAAAAGTAGACCGAATAATATAATGGGCCCCATGTACTCATCACACAGCTCCAAYCACCATCAATCCATGACCAACCCTGACCTGACCATGCTCTGACCCATTAACCCCACCCCTACACTATGTTGAAGAACATATATTGTGAATCATTATATCATTCCCATTTACATAACTAAATAAATCAAATACAGATTCCTTAATATTGTAAAATAACCAGGAAGTGTTCAAATTTTCAAATTGTTCCATAAACATCCTAATTTTTTAAAAATTTGTGTACTTTATACAGATTATCCTGGCCACAGTATAAAAGGAGAACAATTACCTTGGAAGTGTGAAGACCTGTTAAGAGGTTACTGTGTCATCTAAGTGAGAAATGATGGGGGCCTAAATCCAGGCTGTCAGTGGAGAGGGGAGGCTGACACACAGAAGCAAGGTCCGCAGATAATGTGTCCATTGGATCTAGTAACCCGTGAACTTTACTAAGAGCCTTTCCTGTGGAATGGTGGGACAGACAAGTGTGAATACAGTAGGTAGAGAATGAAATGGGAGTTGCGGCTGAGCACACTGGAAAGCCACACAATAGGGCAGAATGGTTCTACTATACAGTACTATACTATTCATTCATTTGATCAACAATAAAAAATTATACACTGTGACTTAAATGACTAAGCAGTGGAGAGAGATATAATGAAAGAAAATGGCATAACATCTCCACTCTCAAAGGACTTACATTCTAGTTGGGAAGTGAAGAAAAACCAAACACAACAAGGGGTTTCAATGGCTTTATGCTTTTGTAGACAGGTTTGTCAGGGAAGGCCTACCTGACCTGAGTGAAGAAAGGAGAAAAAAAAAAAAAAACAGGTAACGGAAAGACAGGAGCAAAAATTCCAGGTTAAGAGAAGAGTAAATGCAAAGACTCCAAGGTAGAACTCTGACATGTTCAAGAAACTGGCTAAGGCTCTGCCTCCTCTGACTGGCACCACACCCATTCAAGTGTCTGAGCTCAAACCTTTCACCTTCACTTCAATCTCAGTGCTCAGCATGCCTCCTACAGACTGGCAGCTAGTGCACACATAATTCCAACTACTTAGAGACTTTCCCTCCCTTCTTTGTAGAAGGCACCCACTTTTACAGGAAGCTTCAGTTCATCAGAAAAGCCTTCCCTGTCCTAAGGTAAGATCTCATCATAAATAATAGGCAAGAGAATCACCTGAGGCCAGGAGTTCAAGACCAACCTGGACAAAATAGGAGGCCTGGTCCCCCACCTCCCGGCCCCACCCCCTAAAAAAATAAATAAATAAAGGCGGTGGGGGTCCGGCCTATCATCCCATCCACTCAGTTTGGGACTGAGGCCAAAACCACAAGTTCGGGGCCAGACGCAGTAACTTAGTGAGACCATCTCAAATTTAAAAAATAAACAAACAAATAAATAAAAGGGCTGGTGATGTCGTTCCGTGGTAAAGTGTCCCTGGTTTCAATCCCCGATACGGAAAATAGAAAGAAAAAATCAAAGTATCACTTTACAGCTATAATTAAGTATGTGTTTATTTGGTTCTTGGACAATGTCTGCTCTGTGAGGATGCTCGGGGGAAGGAAAGGACCTCGTCTGTGGTTGTATTTTCAGGCTCTAGAAGTGCCTGGCACACAGCAGCTGCTCGACAAAATTTGAATATGCACTAGTCCTTCTAAAGGTTTGGCTTCAGAGGGGGAAGAGAGACCCGTGGAGAGGACGCGAAGACGCCGCGCTGAGCCAGGGCTCCCGGGGAGTGCGCGCGTGTGGGTTGGAGACCCGCCCTGGAACAGGACGGCAGGCCGCCCGCGGTCGGGGGAACCCGACCCTCTAACTGGATGTAGGCCGAGTGCGATCTCCGCGGGACGCAAACAGACTAACTCAGACCTTTAAAGACGGTGAGCAAAGCCGGAGGGGAGCCAGGGCAGCGTCGCCTGGCGGGAAAAGGCGAACGCGCGTGCGGGGGGCCGAGCAGACGGAGGGCGCCAGACCGGGGTCCCGCCATGCCCCCGCGTCTTCACACTGCCCTCGGCTAGCCCTCCCCGGCCGCGGGGACCCCCGGCTACCAGGCCCCGGCCGCCGCTGCCCCACGAGCCGCCAGCCGCCTTACCCGCCCGGCGGGGCCGCGGCCGCCGCTCCTCTCTGCGCAGAGCGTTCGAACCGGAACGCGGAGACACGTCGGCGCCGATTGGCGACGCTCCGTCACGTGATCGCAACGCTCCGCCGGCGCCAATTTCAAACAGCGGAACAAACTGAAAGCTCCGGTGCCGGACCCCACCCCCGGCCCCGGCCCGGGACCCCCTCCCCTCCCGGGCTCCCCCGGGGTTCCCACCCCTCCCGCACCGCCGGGACCCGGCGGGCCTGGCGCGAGTCCGTTTCCGGGCCCTGGCCCGGCCCCAGGTTGGAGAAGCCACAGGCGGCGACCCTGGGATCTGGAGGTGAGCGGGGCGCAGGCATGGATCCCGGGCCCTGCCCTGGCGGAGCGGGGAGAAGGGCTCGGGCGCCGCTTCGGAAGGTCCTTCGTGAGTTCATGGCGTCCAGCTGCAGGACGCGGGACGCGAGCGGAGTTTTGGGGCCACTCGGGAAGGGGGTCTGGGAGAGGGTGCAATATGTGTGTGTGTGTGTGTGTGTGTGTGTGTATATATATATATATATATATATTTTTTTTTTTCCTGCATCCAATCTTCTGGCCTCGGTCATCTCGCTTCTTTCTCCATGCACCCCTTGGACTTCCCTGCAAGTTTTACTTCTGCACCCTGCCCATGGCTCCAAAAGTGGCCTACTCTCTGAGTAGGGGACTGGGGCTGGGATGAAAACTGAGCTGGTTATGCATTGAGTAAAAGACCATCACACACACACACACACACACACACACACACACACAGCTCCCCTGCGCCCGGGTGTTCTCACCATTAGGCAACACTGCCTCCACCCTCTGCTTTTGCAGGATTCTTGAGAGTATAGCAAGGTTTCCCTGTTCAGAATGGGGATTGGAGCAAAGGAGTGACGCTATAAAGTGTTAGCATTATTAGGAAGAGGCAGGTTAAAGGAGTTGAAGAGAAAATTAAGACTCACTCTGTGGAAAAAAGGGAACAGTGCTTACCTATTGAGGTGAGTGGGCCTGGAGGGATATGAGGCAGAATTAAAATTGAGTTTTGTTTTTTTTTTTCTTTTTTGATTCTGGTTTATTTTACTTAACATAATACTCTCTAGTTACACCCATTTTTCTACAAATGACATAAACTTCATTCTTCTTTATGGCCGAATAAATATCCATTGTGAATATATACCATGTTTTTTCTTGTCTATTCATCTGTTGATGGACACCYGGGCTAGTTCCATAACTAGGCTACTGTGAATTGTGGTGCAGTGAATGTGAATGTTCACATACCACCACACACTAYTGAATTCTTAATCTAGCTCTCTTGGGAGCTAAAATTGAGTTTTGAAGGTAGAGAAAACTGAAATATAGAGGGAAGGAAGATGACAGGGTGGGGAAGGCCTGAGAACTCTAAGCAGATGGTAAATGTCAAAAAAGTGCACTCATTCTTATGGGCATAGAAGGTGTCCTCAAAAGGGTCATGGAATTCCTCTGTCTCTCAAAGGACCTCAAAATATAATGTGAGGATTGTACTTAATGGTAGAATAGTTCGCATATCTATAAAAATCAAAATAACCCCCCCCCTTTTTAAAGATAAGATTTCTTAGCATTTCAGAACCACCTTAGCATATTAATTATAGCACAATCTAGAAGTCCAGAGATAGTTATAGTCTTGGTTCTGGAAGAGAAATTAAATAGTAAAGTAGCATTCTTACAAAGTTAAAATATGGTGGAGCTCAGGATATAGTTCAGTTGGTAGAGTGCTTGCCTTGCATGCACAAGGCCCTGGGTTCAATCCTCAGCACCACCCCCCAAAATAAAACAAAACAAAGGTAATATATGCAAAAACAGCTGGGCATGGTATGAGCACATACCTATAATCCCAGCAGGTTGAGGCAGGAGGATTCCAAGTTCAACCTGGAAAAATTAAAACCTGTTTCAAAATAAAACGGTATGGGGGGATAGTTCAGTAGTAAAGAGCCCCTGGATTCAAACCCCATTACTGGGTGGGGGTGGGTATATGGAAATACTACAGTGTCACTATATAGCTCTTTTGCAAATTGTGAAAAGATACAGTTTTTAAAAATTAATACAAGAGATGAGCACGGTGGCACACACCTATAATCTCAGCGACTTAGGAAACTGAGGCAGGCGGATCACAAGTTCAAGGCCAATCAGTAATTTATCAAAGCTCTAAGCAATTTAGCAAGATCCTATCTGAACATGAAAAAGTCTGTGGATATAGTTCAATGGTAAAGTGACCGTGTGTTCAATCCCCAGTACCAAAACTTAAAAAAAAAAAAAAAAAAGTAATGCAAGAGGGCTAGGGTTGGGGATCAGTGATAGAGTAGGGATCTGTGAGAGTATTTGCTTAGCATTCATAAAGACCCTGGGCTCCATCCCCAGCACTACAAAAAAATAAAATAAAATAAAATTCAAGACTCCTGTGAAGTAAATTGTACCCAATAGAGTTGTGCAGTGCAAAATCTGTATTACTTTATCATGGGGTTTTTGAATAGAGAAGTTTTGTGAACTGGGAGATGATTTCTCCAGTGATGTGGCATTACTACAATCTGCCTTTATCTCCTAATTCTGTAGGCATTGATTGTTATCATTTACAAAGTAAATTGACATAAAAATATAAAGGATATTGACATAAAAATATAATCTCAGCTACTCAGAGGCTGAGATAGGAGAACCACAGTTTGAGGCCAACCAAGGCAATTTAGTGAGACTCTGTTGAAAAGAAAAATGAAAAGGGTTGGAGCCATAGCCCAGTGGTAGAGCATTTCTGGGTTATATTTCTAGAACAATAAGGAAGCAAATATGTATTTGTGTGTCTATGTACACAAATATATRCACACACATTTATACAAGGGCTTTATCTAATATATACACACACATATTTGTACAAAGGCTTTATCTAAGAATAGGTTATTGGATCAGAGTTTTGTGCGGGCTTCTAATTATCATGTTTTCCTATTTCAGCATTTTCCATTTCCATCCCTATAGTCACTATAAGTAATCTATCTGTATTATAGTTGGCAATAATAGTTTTCAACATTTTTGCAGCTGTCTCACTCATTCTTGTAGTCATTCTTAAGCTTCCAGGAGACATTTCCAGGAGACATTTGACTATCTCCAGTCCAATCTGTCTCCCCCCACCACCTTGAATTACTTGCTACAGTTGTAGCTTTCTTTGGCCAGTAGGGTTTATCTCCTTATTGTCTGAGGTTTTTATAAAGGCCTAGGGAGCGTTCACCTGGACCTTTAGGCTTATGTTCTTGACCATATGTGCAGAGGAACACCTTTCTGTGAGAGAACCCCTTCTCAGCTTAACAATCTCTTTATGTCCTACTGTTCCTTGTACCTTGTAGGGTCCATTCTTGTGATTCTCAATGGAGAGTGAAAGCACAGATTAATAATGAAAACCAGCCCCCGGCGGCCACTGATTCTCAAAAGACGGAGGCTGCCTCTTCCTGTTCAAGATGCCCCACATGACACATCAGAGGAGGAACCTAAGAAACCCCCTGCCCAAGAGGAGCCTAGTCAAGCACAGGCCTCCAAAGAGGTGGCTGAGTCCAACTCTTGCAAGTTTCCAACTGGGATCAAGATCATTAACCACCCTACCATGCCCAACACGCAGGTGGTGGCCATCCCCAAGAATGCTGATATCCAAAGCATCATCACAGCATTGACTGCCAAAGGAAAGGAGAGTGGCAGCAGTGGGCCCAACAAATTCATCCTTATYAGCTGTGGGGGAGCCTCAACTCACCCTTCAGGACGTCAGCCTCAACCCCAGACCAGCAATGATTCCAAGAGGACAGAAGTTATCACAGAAATATTGGGACCAAAGCCTGCCACTAGGGATGCAAATGTTCTTAGACCACCTGGACCCACTCTGGGGCAGAGACTGGAGAACTGTGGTATGTGGTCTGCAAGGCAAAGGGATGAGGAGCCTGGCCTTTCCTCTCTAGTGGCGAGTCAGCCATGTTGATGCCCTCAACAGATAGGCTGAACCCAGGGAAAGTCTTGACTTTTTCATCCTTAAACCTTGATACAGATTCTCTGGTACTGTCAAGAGAGTTGTAATCATAACTTAGCATTTTTATTGCCTTCTCAATTTTGGGAAATGATTTATTATTTTGGTTTATTCTTTCCATTGAACTTGTAAGGAATTAAATCTTTCTTCATTGTAAAGGAGCAAACTAAAGCATGAGAAAGAAAAGTGACTTTTTTTTGTGTGTAGATATTAAGTAACTCATTTGTAAGGTTGAAATGCAATTTGAACTATGCTCTTGAATTTCTCCTGAAACCCATTTTGGGTTAGAGTAACTTAGAGCTATGGGAGATTTACTGTGTGTTCTCTTGTCCCTAAGGGTAGAAGAGTGATTCCCTAACCACCAATACTGATGGGTCTTTTGGGATAAGCAGCTGATCCTATTGGATCAGGCAGCTAAGTGGGGTCTTGAATTGTTTTCCCTCTAGCTGGTGGTGACACAACAGGCTGTCCCCTGGACAACAGCTTAACCAACATCCAGTGGCTTGAAAAGATGAGTTCTGATGGACTGGGCTCCTGTAGCATCAAGCAAGAGATGGAGGAAAAAGAGAATTGTCACCCGGAGCAGAGTCAGGTTAAGGTAAACAATTCTGTCATTCACTAGGAAAATCAGAGCCAATGCAGGGAATTTCTAAGAGGAAAAATGGATCAAGTGGCTTGCTGGAACAGAATTTCCAAGTTCTAGTAAAAGCACTCAGTGCTCTTCTGTATAACTTTTGAGCTACTTTCTACCTGAGATCTTTTTCTCCCCATCTGTGAAACTTCCTTGAGGGCAGACTCTTAGTATTCTACCCTTCTAGATATTCAAGAAATGAGTAATAGTCTTACTTTGGGAAGCTATTTGAACTTTAAGTAACACAGCTATATAAATTGACTATGGCTTTTTTTTTTTTTTTTTTATGGTACTGGGGATTGCACCCAGAGGTGCTTTACCACTGAGCTACATCCCCACCCACCCCACCCCCTTTTTTTTTTCAGACAGATTTCACTAAGTTGCTTAGGGCTTTACTAATGCGCTGAGGTGGCCTCAACTTGCTATCCTCCTGCCTCAGCCTCCTGAGTCACTGAGATTACAGTGTGTACCACCATGCCTGGCTTGAGTATGGCATCTTATTTGTTGGAAGATGTTCTGTAATATTAATAGAAAATAAAGTGAACTAGGGGTGAATTTTAAATACTTTTCCAGCAATGAAAATTTATTTATCAGTTATGTAGTCTGTTTTTATTTTGTTCATAGTCACCAATATCACACATTTAGATTCTTTAGTATATACCCTTTAATCATTCATTCATTCATTAAAAGTGAAAATTTACATGAAGCTGGCCATGGTAGTGCACGCTTGTAATCCCAGCAGCTCAGGAGGCTGAGGCAGGAGGATCGTGTGTTCTAAGCCAACCTCAGCAAAAGTGAGGTACTACACAACTCATTGAGTCCCTGTCTCTAAATAATTAAATACACAATAGGGCTGGAGATGTGGCTCAGTGGTTGAGTGCCCCTGAGTTCAATCGCCAGTACTGCCCCCCCAAATTGCATGAATGTATACATTAGAAAGTATTTTTATGTGGTGCTGAGGATGGAACCCAGCTCCTCACACGTGCTAGGCAAGTGCTCTACTGCTGAGCCACCACCCCAGCCCTCATTAGTAAATATTAATTGAATCATATACTTAAATATTCAATTGTACTTTATAAAGTTCTATCTTAATTTTTTGTTATTGCTGGTGATTGAACTCATGGCTTTGTGCATGGGAGGCAAGCACTCTACCACCTAAGCTAAATCCCCAGCCCTATCTTAATTTTTAAAAAGCAAATGATCAGGTCTTTGTCCAAGATTTAGCCAGATGTATGCTTTGAAGACATTTATCTGTCCCAAGTTCATGAGAATGTTTTTCACAAACATTGGAACAAGATGGGTTATTCACAGCATATCAGAGTTGACTACAAGTCTAAAAAATGGTCATGGATTAGTACAATAAAATCTCATAATCTATAACCCAGCTCTGAATATTTTCAACTAGGAGAGAATGAACTTCCTCTTAATATTGAACAATATCTTCAACAAAATGAGTGACATCAGAGAAGTAGTTCCTCACTCACTACAATCTAGGCTAGGTCATTGAAGATCCTAATCCTAAAATTTATGCCACTGTGGAACAGCAGTCTCAAATGAGTGGGATTCTAGGATATCTCTATGGGAAAAGGTTCCTCTAGAGGATGTTCTCAAGGGGCTCTGGTTGGAGAAGTTCTTGTGAACTCTCTTTGTCATTCCCTCTTCTCTTTCCTTTTGACTTCTCACATTCCTCAGATGGAAGAGCCCTCAGGAACATCAACATCCTGGCAGGACTCTGTGTCTCAGTGACTGCCTTACTCTTACATGGCCATGATACAGTTTGCCATCAACAGCACTGAGAGGAAGCGCATGACCTTGAAGGACATCTATACTTGGATTGAGGACCACTTCCCCTATTTTAAGCATATTGCCAAGCCAGGCTGGAAGGTAACATATCCCATAACCACTAAAGTCAAAGTCACTGTGGCCCAAGCCTGACAGATGGTTTCTGCTGTTGTTCTGCACTTTGTATCTACCTCTGGGTCAGACATTAAGTGCAAAGGATGCTAGAACTATAAACAGATATGTGTTTGGATTGTAACTGATCTCACTGAATCTAAGCAAAATCATCAATGACAGGCACAGAGATGCATGCCTTTAAACCCAGTAACTCAGGAGGTGATGCCAGAGGATTGCAAGTTCAAAGCCAACCTCAACAACTTAGTGAGACCCTGCCTCAAAATAAAAGATATCAACAAGATCCCTATAATGACTTCCTTGGTTACCACATGAGGTTTATAGAGAGACTTCAGTATAGTACCCAAGCCTACCTTTGTGCCACACTGAACAGTACCTGCAGCTGGAGTAGTGAAGTAATTTTATGAAAAGATTTGTGTGTGTGTGTGGTGGTGGTGGTAGGGGTTGAACCCAGGGCCTTATGCATGCAAAGCAAGCACTTTACCAACTGAGCTATATCCCCAGCCCCTTATGAAAATATCTTAATAAAAAAGAATCAGAACACTGAGATTCACAAGATTGATCTCCGGTAATGTCACATACCATTTACAGTTCACAGGTTCAAACTTACAAGTCAAGTTTTTAGAGAGGTATTTAATTCTAAGATAAAGATGGTCTGTCCCTGTTTTGTTTCATTTTCCCCACAGTAGAACTCTTAACTTCACACTCTTAATTAACTTAAATTCCTAGTTTTGGGGTTCGGGTTGGGGTTGTGGCTCAGTGTTAAGAGTGCTTACCTGGCACACGTGAGGCACTGGGTTCCATCCTCAGCACCACAAAAAATAAAATAAAGGTATTATGTCTATCTACAACTAAAAATATACATATATTTATATATTTGTGTGTGTATATACACACATACACAGATATATAATAAATAAAAATTCCTAGTTTCTTTCTTTCTCCTTATCTGTTTCCCTATTAATTGCTATTTCACAGTCTCTGCCTTCCTAGCTCTCCAGGGTGTGGTTTTTTTGTTTTTTTTTTTTCAGTGCTGAGGATTGAACCTAGGACCTCACATATGCTAGGCAAGTGCTCTTCCACTGAACTATAACCCTAGCTCTTCCAGGTCTTTCCTTGTTTGCACATAAGCACGTGTGTATGTGTGTGTGTGTATTAAACTTTATTTATTTATTTATTTATTTATTTATTACTAGGCATTGAACCCAAGGGTGCTTTACCACTAAGCTATACCCCCAGCCGTTTTTATTTTTTATTTTGAGACAGGATCTTTCTAAATTGCTGAGGCTGCCTTTGAACTTGCAATCCTCCTGCCTCAGCCTCCCAAATCAGTGAAATTACAAGTGTGTGTCACTGTGCCCAACTCCTTTTTTATATTTCGCTGAAAACTTTTTTTACCTTTTGGGTAGAAATGGGATTTGTTGGGTTGGAGATATAATTCAGAGGTAGAGCTCTTGCCTAGCATGCACTAGGCCCCGAGTTCAATTCCCAGTTCCACATAAAAACAACAACAAAATGGATTTGCCTGAAAGGGTTATCAGACTTCTACTGGAACCAGCAGGTGGCTGCCTCTTTGCTGATTCTGCATTTGGCCCCAGTGTAGACTGTCCTAACTGTGAAACTTTGCTTACCCAGTGCCACATAGAAGCCCTGGCTATGGCATCAAATCTTACGTCATATTTGATTCCCAGAGAGATATATCCCTGAATCCCAAAACCAGTTTCCCAATATCTAAAAAATTTTTGTTGGTTTTGGTACCAAGAATTGAACTCAGAGGTGCTTAATCACTGAGCCACATTCCTATCCCTTTTTATTTTTTATGTTGACACAGGGTCTCACTAAGTTGATGAGGCTGGCCTTGAATTTGAAGTCCTCCTGCCTTAGCCTCTCAGGTCACTGGGATTATAGGCATGTGCCACCATGACCAGCCTGAAAAGTTATTTTTTTCTTTCATACTCCCAATACCTTTAGATCTTTATTGACTGTGCAAAAGACAGTCTGCTCATTTCTCCTACTGCAGTAGGATCTCTGAAAAACACATTGGCTGCCTGGCTCAGATTGTCTTCCTCTCCCCACACAGATGTAGTGGCAGGCAGAATTTGCAGATGTGAAGTTCTGCAAAGGGTTCTTCTTTTCACCCAGATTCTGTGCCATGATAGAGAGCTGGAAGAGAGGGGGAAGCTTCGGGCCCAAGGCGATGAGCCTGGGGGCAAGCCAGGTCTTTTCTTTATTACCATCCTAAGGAGTGGCACCAGGCTTTATCCCCATGGAACAGAAGGACAAACAGCTGAGATTGTTAAGTGTGCAGTGTCAGGAAGAGAGTTGCTAACAGGCAATGTTACAGGGAGCCTGGACAAAGCCTGTGCTGAGCACGTGGGATAGACTCCCACGCTTCAAAGATGATGTTTTTGAAGCTAAATTAGCTGATAACGGGTCTCCTTCCTCTCATTTCAGAATTCCATTCGCCACAATCTTTCCCTCCATGACATGTTTGTTCGGGAGACATCTGCCAATGGCAAGGTCTCCTATTGGACCATTCACCCCAGTGCCAATCGCTACTTGACGTTGGACCAGGTGTTTAAGGTGAGTATCCTTCTTTCTTCTAAATAGGATCAGTATTGAAGGTCATAGCGGACATCTCAAGAGGGACAGACTCTCCTCATGATGCTCTCATTTGGTCGGAGAATTAGGAGCCAGCCAGCCAATTAACAACTTGCTGAAATAAGTAGAGTTGACAAATAACCAAATCATGCACTTTTGTGGACTGGGGCATGAGAAGACTGTTCTGATCCAACATAGAGGACTTCCTAGAGCGGTGCTTCCCTAATTCTCCTGTGAATAAGAATTTCCTGGGACACTTGTTACAATACAGCTCTCCAGGCCGTATTGTTCTAAAATCAGGAGCCTATCGGAGTTCCTGGTTCAGTGGATCTGGAATGGACCCAGAAATTTGTATTTTTCACAAGCATCTCAGGTGATTCTTACAGAGAAAGTCTGGGAAGGTTGCTCTAAAAACACCCTTCTTTAGGCTAGAGACTAGAAGCTGAGCCATCAGAACATCTTTTCAGAAAGATGCTATTGTTTGGGGACCTGAGTGCCCATAAGGCTGTGGGTAGCTGTAACCATTCTGGGAGGGACAGTTGTTCAGGGTGTCCCTTGGCATCCATTAGGAGTAGGTTTTTTTCCCAGTCTGGTCAGATTGACCACGTTGGTGGTAACTTCATCTCATTTCTCTCCCACAATGCTTGGCCGCCACCAGCCACTGGACCCAGGGTCTCCACAATCGCCCCAGCACTTGGAATCAGTAAGATTCTTTTCCTCTGGCTCGGGGCTTGGCCTTGTTTTCCTTTCACTGCTCAGCATGGCTTTAGTGGGCAAAGACATGGGGATGGGATTCTATGGCTGTGTGACTGCCAGCCTAGCACACATAGCACCCAAAAGATCTGGGAGTGAGGAACATGAGACTGCTATTGCCACTCCTCTTTACCCTCCCATGAGCATCACAAAGATGCACTGAGCAACACAGAGCAGGGCACAGCAGGAGAACATGCCATTGCAACTGCCTGGCATAGGCCTTGCAGGTGACAGTTTGTTCCCTCTGCCTTATTTCTTTACTACTAAGATAACTATATGCTTTAGCATCCTCTGGGGGTGGTGTCAAGACCCATGGGTGAGGTGGTAGGACTGTCCTGCCATCACATGACCCTATGCCATCCACCTGTCCCCTAAACAAGGCTTGAGATATTATGCTTACCCGCATCCCTCCCTCAGATTGGCTTTTACTTTCTGGGCTGTTGGTTAGCTCAAGTGCACCAGCACAGCCTGTGGGGTTCTGCTATCCCCCTTTACCTTATTAACCTAGGTTTCTTTCTTTCCCCATCTTCCACATGCAGCAGCAGAAACGACCCAATCCTGAGCTCCGCAGGAATATGGCCATCAGAACGGAACTCCCACTGGGTGCACGTGAGTACAGGAAAGTGGTCCTCAGGCCCAAGCCTTGTTCTGGGGGCATGTATGGTCTTTAGGGAATCAGACTCCAGATTCTGTTTCCAGCTCATAGGGRTCTGAACCCAGAGAAGGACAGCAAAACTCCTGGTACTGAGAAGGGAAGAACCCCTCGCCCTTCTCTTCCTGATCACTCCTGTTTCCTCCTAGGGCGGAAGATGAAGCCTCTGCTTCCTCGGGTCAGCTCATACCTGGTGCCCATCCAGTTCCCAGTGAACCAATCACTGGTGCTGCAGCCCTCAGTGAAGGTGCCACTGCCCCTGGCAGCTTCACTCATGAGCTCCGAACTTGCACGTCATAGTAAGCGAGTCCGCATTGCCCCCAAGGTGAGTGCCCTCTGCTTTTCTGTGAAGAGAGACTCCAGTCACTCCTGGGTGTTCCTTGAGATTCTAAATCTAGTTGAGTAGTCAACGCATAAACACAGGAAAACTGAATAAGAGCTAAAAAGAAATTTGGATTATGACATAAGTAGTATCAAAAGCCGATTACTACCTGATGAGTTTAAAACAACGAAGACAGGGGCAGGGGATGTGGTTCAAGCGGTAGCACTCTCGCCTGGCATGTGTGCGGCCCGGGTTCAATCCTCAGCACCACATACAAACAAAGATGTTGTGTCCACCGAGAACTAAAAAATAAATATTAAAAATTCTCTCTCTCTTTCCCTCTCTTTTTTTTTTTTTTTTTTTTAAGGTGATTATGACAGGTGGGCTGGGGCAGTTAGGGAAAAATCCAGAAGGGAGGCAAATCCTAGAAGAAGTGGATCTGGGAAAGCCAAAGAGCTGCCAGGCATGGTGGTACATGCCTATAATCACAGCAACTCAGGAGGATGAGGTCAAAAGATCACCAGTTCTAAGCCAGCCTCAGCAACTTAGAGAGACCCTATCTCAAAATAAAAAGAGCTAGGGATGTAGCTCAGCAGCAAAGTATCCATGGGACATGAGTTCAATCCCAATACCACAAAAAAAAAAAACATAAATTAATCGAAAAAGACCCACATATTGACAGTTTAGTACAAGGTCTTCCATATTTTACCCATGTTCATAGTATGGCATACTATGCCATTGGCGGATAGAACCCAGGGCCTCACACATGCCAGGCAAGCACTCTACCACTGAGCTATATCCCCAGAATAGTAAATCCAGGAACTCTATCACTGACCTACATTCCCAGCCCTTTCTATTTCTTATTTTGAGACAAAGTTCTACTAAATTGCCAAGGCTAAATTTGAACTTGTGATCCTCCTGCCTCAGACTCCCAAGTAACTGGGATACAGGTGCCACTGTGCCTGGCTTCCATGAGTTCTTATTGGGTTAGAAAAAGACAGTGGCCCATGCTTATAATATTAAATATTCAGAGGAGACTGAGGCAAGAGGATCACAAGGTCAAGGCTATTCTGGGCAACTTAGCAAGATTGTCTCAAATATAATAGGATAAAAGAGGATGGAGAACTGGGGGTGTAGCTCAGTGATAGAGCACTTGCCAACTCTGTCCACAAGGTCATGGGTTCATTCACCAGTACCAAACACACACAAAAAAGACGTCACAGAAGTTCTTCCCAGGTACTTGATATAGTTCTAATTTATTGCTTTTTATGTCTGCATAACATTCACAGATTATTGACTCTTATATTTTTTATGGAAATATTTTGTTTCTGGGCTGTTGTTTTTTTCCAAATGTTTTTTAGTTATACAAGGATACAATATCTTTATTTTGTTTATTTATTTTTATGTGGTGCTGAGGATCGAACCCAGTGCCTCACATGTGTAAGGCAAGTGCTCTGCCACTGAGCCACAACCCCATCCCTTGTTTCTGGGTTTTTACCCTATGAACAATAATGTGATAAATATCTTCGCAGCAATCTTTCTTACTAGTGCTTTTATGTCTATGAGATAAAGTCCCAGATATGAAATTGCTAAGTGAGAAGGTATTCTAAATTTTACTAAATATTTCTAGATTGTATTCCAAAAACCTGTGATGATTCATATTTCAAACAGCAATATAAGAACTATATAATCACTGGCAATTTTTAATATTTGCCAATCTCAGGGCTGGGAATGGAGCTCAGTGGTAGAGTGTTTGCCTAGCAGGAGCAAGGCCCTAGGTTTGATCCACCAGCACCACCACCACCAAAAAAAAGGTTACCAATATTTGCCAGTGTAATGCTATGTTTCCTTGTTGATTCATAAGATTGAGCACCTTCTCATTATATTTGGTCACTTGAAGTTGTCTTCAGTGAATTGCTTATTTATGGAATGGACATTGCCCAATTTTCTGTAGGGTCTTGTTATTAATTTGTGAGAGCTCTGTTAGTAAAATATTGTTTTTATGTGTTTATGCTGAAGATATTTTTCTGCTTCTCCTGCTTGGTTCCTAACTGTATATGGTCTCTCTGGCCACAGTAAAATTGTATATAATCAATATGTCTTTCTTCTCTTGCAGCTTCTGGGCTTCCAGTCTTGGTTAAGCAGGTCACCCTACCCTCAGCTTGTGCATGTAGTCTTCTAGATTCTCTTTTAAGATTTGTATGATTTTCAAATTTTAATTTTTATGTTTAAATCTTTATATAAATGGGTTTGATCTCCAACACCACAAAGAAATCTTTGTACCCAGTGTAAAATAGATATTCAATTTTATTTTCTCTGAGGTGGATTCTAATTATGCCAGTACCACATTAAATATTCTTACCTTTTTTTCCCTCCTGTTTGGTGTTAAGAATTGAACTCAGGGCTGGGGATGTGGCTCAAGCGGTAGCACGCCCGCCTGGCATGCGTGCGGCCTGGGTTCGATCCTCAGCACCACATACAAACAAAGATGTTGTGTCCGCCGAAAACTAAAAAATAAATATTTTTAAAAAAAAAAAAAAATCTCTCTCCCTCTCTCTCTCTCTTTAAAAAAAAAAAAAAAAAAGAATGGAACTCAGGGCCTCTGTTACTGAGCATGTGCTCTACCACTAAGCTAGACCCCCAATTCCAATTCATTCATCTTTTATCCCCAGAATGGAATTACCACCTTCATCATATATATTATATTCTCATATTTAAAAGAAGCTTTTAATTGTATAAAACCAGAGATATGAAAAATTGTGCTCTATCTGTATGAATAAGAATTGTAATGTATTCTGCTGTTATAAATAAAAATTAGAATTTAAAAATAAATAAAAGAAGCTTTTAAGGACTGGGGATATAGCTCAGTTAGTAGAATTCTTCCTTCGCATGCACAAGGCCCTGGGTTCAATCCCCAGCACCACACACACAAAAAAAAAGTGAAACATATTTAAAAGCTTTTAAGATTTTAAAAAGACAAGAGAGCTGATGGCATATTTCAGTGGTAGAGTACTTAACCTAGCATGCTTGAGGCCCTGGGTTCCATCCCCAGCAACACAAAGGGGAAAAAAAGGAAAGAAAATTTAAAATAGTATGACAAGATGATCGGCACCAGTATGTCACTTTGTTTGGTGATGGTTCTATATCCAGCCTGGTAGCAGCTGGTTGAATGTAACCCCTTTTACCTTGCCTCTGCTTCCCTTTCAGCTGCTACTAGCTGATGAGGGCATAGCCCCTCTTCCTACTGCAGGACCAGTGAAGGAGGAGAAACCCCTGCTTGGAGAAGGGCTGTTGCCTTTGCTTCCARTTCAGTCCATCAAGGAAGAGGAAACTCAGCATGGGGAAGACATGCCACAGTTAGCAAGACCCATCAAAGTGGAGAGCCCTCCCTTGGAAGAATGGCCCTCCCCATGCCCATCATTCAAAGAGGAGCTGTCTCACTCCTGGGAGGATTCATCCTGCTCTCTCATCCCAAGACCCAAGAAGTCCTACAGTGGGCTTAAGTCCCCAGCCCGATGTGTCTCAGAAATGCTCGTGATTAAACGAAGGGAGAAGAGGGAGATGAGCCGGTCTCGAAGGAAACAGCATCTGCAGCCTCCCTGTCTGGATGAGCCCGAGCTGGTCTTCTCAGAGGGCCCCAGCACATCCCGACGAGCTACTGAGGCCCCCCTCCTGGCAGAGCCTGTCTCCCACCTGAGCTGCCTCCAGGAGGARGGAGGACCTTTCAAGACCCCCATTAAGGAGACTCTGCCCATCTCCTCCACACCGAGTAAATCTATCCTCCCCAAAACCCCTGAATCCTGGAGGCTCACACCCCCAGCCAAAGCAGAGGGTCTTGATTTCAGCCCAGTACGAACCCCCCAGGGCGCCTTTGGCTCCCTGCCTGACTCCCTGGGGCTGATGGATCTGAGCACCACGCCGCTGAAAAGCATTCCCCTCTTTGACTCACCCCGAGAGCTCCTCAATTCAGAACCCTTTGATCTTGCCTCTGACCCCTTTAGCAGCTCTTCCCCCTCTGATGTGGAAGTTCCCAAGCCAGGCTCTCCAGAGCTTCAGGTTCCCAGTCTTTCGGCCAATCGTTCTCTGACTGAAGGTCTGGTTCTGGACACGATGAATGACAGCCTCAGCAAGATCCTGCTGGATATCAGCTTCCCTGGCCTGGAGGAGGACCCACTGAGCTCTGACAACATCACCTGGTCTCAGTTTACTCCTGAACTACGGTAGAGACTGGACTTGACCTTGCCTTGCTGCTCAAGCTGTCCACCATTCCAGGCATTCATGTGGCTGGGCAGTCCCAAGGCTCAGTGTACCCCAATCCCTCTGAGTGAGGACAGCAGGCAGGGACCGTGCTGCTCCTCTTAGCTCCCCAGCCTGATYATGCCAAGGCAGCAGTCACACCTTAACTGCTGCTGGGACCTTTGCAAGCAGTAGGGTAAATGGTCTCTGTGCCACCTATGCTTCTTGAGAGAATCTGATTCCTCTACTCTCCTTGCCATAAGCTGAAGGGTGAGAATGGCAAAAGTAACGGTAAAAAGGAGTTAGTACTTCCCCAAACCGTTTTCATTCTGTGCCCAGCAGTCTCACCTTCCCTGCTCCTTGTAGGGTGACCCTTGTAAATAGTGTAAATTTTCCAAATTATCCTCTAATTATAAATGTAAGCTTATTTCCTTAGATCATTATCTAGAGACTGCCATAAGGTGGGCAGGGTAACAAGGGGTTGCAATTTGCCTCTATTCCTTGCTTTTGGTTCCTGGAGAAGGGCAGGACCTGCAGTGCAGGTTTCTTCTTGACCCGAGGTATCTAGCTCAAGGGTTCTTTACTGTAGGCACCCAATCTGCTTCCCAGGGTCCCTCTTATTGCTCCTTCCTCCTACCTCCCCATGTTTCCAAGTCAGCTTTCCTGCAAGAAATCCTGGTTTAAAAGGTCTCATATCGGGTCAAGAGTTGAATTTTGGGGTGGTTGGATAAATGCATCTACAACAAAGTGAATAAGTGCCCAGATGTGCCCCCTATTAGATGTTTCTCTGATAATGTTCCTAATCATGCCAGGGAGACTAGAATTGACGAGAACTCAGGCGGAGGCTTGAGAAAGTGGAAAGGACCCCTGACCTGCCTGGCTTCCTTAACTTGCACCTCAGCTTTGCAAAGAGCCACCCTGGGCTCCAGCTGACTGCATGTACATGAGCCAGCTCAATAACACTACTGTAACTACTTACCAAATAAAATCCAGGGTGGACCTGCTGGTCTCTGTGGTCTCAGTATCTGGAAGGGTTGGAAAAGAAAGTGGGTGATGGTGGATATGGTGGTAATGGGGAGAAACAAGGCCTGCAGCTCTCAGTGGGAGCACTGGGAGAATGCACAGGGTTTTTGCAGAATCCCCTCCCTGCCATACTCTGCTGGAACATATATTCTCTCTGACACAGAAATTGCCAGTTTTCCCCCTTTTCCCTGTCATAGGTCTGTTCTTGGGGCCTCTGTGCCTACTGGCTAATTTAGGATTCTGTCAGCTCTCAGTAACAGTGGCAGGCCCCAAAAAACATTAGATTAAAATGGGCTGCACTGCAGGTGCCTTCCTAAAACCTCATCCCCAGCCTGAGACCTAGAAGCCAGTCTGCTTGGTTGTTCTCCTTACCAAGTCTTCCTAGCAAGTTCTTTCCCAGAAACAGTTCCTGTCACCAATTTTTGCACTCAGAACTGTCAAAAGAGAGTCCTTCCCACTCTCTGCCTGTCTCACTTTTCAGGAGGCAGAATCCCGAGGGCCTGAAGAGCCTCTGGTGACAGGTAAGGGCCTCCTCTCTTGTCACCAGCCAGGAAGTATCACCATAGCGACCCTAGCAACAAACAATGGTGCCAGAAAGGGCTTCCCCACTAAGCCACCCCTCCTGGCTCTGACGCCCAGAAGAAGAATGGCTAGTAACCCACAAAGATCACTCAGAGGAAGGATGAGCAATTCATCTGGTGTCAGAGAGCCTTTCCTGAAGGTAGGGGGAGGAGCCTACCTTTTTCTCCACCTGGGCTAGAGGCTGTGGTGAATTCTCCCATGTTTCCCTCTTGGTCCTATGATGCTGCTGGCACGGAGCTCAAAACAGGGGAGATGCCTACTTAGCACAGATGAGTATCCCTTATCCAAAATGCTTATCCAAAAGTGTTTCAGGAATTTTTTTTAATATTGAAATATTTGCTAGATGTCTTGGGGAGAGGACCTAAAATTCACATGTTTCACATATACCTTATACAAGGTAATTTTATGCAATGTGTTTAATATGCCTGTGTTTTCACTGCAACTGATCATATAAAGTCAGGTGTGGAATTTTCCACTGTGACTTGTCAGTACTCAGATTCAGATTTTGAGCATTTTGGATTTTGGATTTTCAGATTAATGATACTCAACCTGTATCATATGTATCCCCCAGCCCCACATACTTATAGAAATGACTTAGACTTATAGAAATGACTTAGACCCAAGAAAGAGTAGATTTGGGGAATCAGAAAATCCTCGTGGGTAAGACAGGAGGGAGAAGCATTTTTACAGATACACACTTTTGTCCTGGCCAGGTCATACTGGGCACTGTGCTATGTGAAAGTATTTCACAGCCTGGGGTTGTAGCTCAGTGGTGGAACTCTTGCCTAGCACTTGTTAAGGTTCAAGCCTCAGCACCACATATAAATAAATAGATTAATTAATTAAATAGAGGTATTGTATCTATTTACAAATAAAAATAAGGTTTTTTTTTTAAAAAAAAAAGCATTTCACACAGAACAATATGCTGAAGATGAACACAGACAGCTCAAGTCCCAGCATCCTGAGTGAGTTCCTTAACCTCACTGGGTCTTGCTCTTTGCATCTTTTAAGATAGTTTCCTTCGCTCTGACAATATCTGAGACAAACAACCTCCTTTAGGAAAGGTTGATTTTGGGTTATGGTTTCAGAGGTTTCGGTCTATAGTTGTTCTGTCCTGTTGCTCTGGGCCTAAGGCAGCACAATGCGTCATGGTGAGAGCTCACAGTGGAGGAGTCGTCACTTCATGGTTGTCCAAAAGCAAAAAGAAGAAGGGGCAGGGAGCCCACTGTSTCTTCAAAGGCACACCTCCAGAGACTTCCACTAGGCCCCACCTCCTAAAGATTCTCCCAGCGCCCAGTAGTGCACAGGCTGGGGACAGAGCCTTTAACACATTGGCTTTTGAGGGACACTTCCAAACCATAGGGAAAATAACAATACTTGCTTACATAGTATGAGGGTGGAATGAGATGTGCTTAAGTATGGAGCACAATGTCAATACTTAATTGCTGGGCTGGGGCTGGGGCTCAGTGGTAGAGCACTTGCCTAGCACGTGTGAGGCACTGGGTTCCATCCTCAGCACCACATAAAAATAAATAAAGGTATTGTGTCCACCTACAATTAAAAATAAAAAAAGACATTTGCTACTACTTATCTCGTGGGGGCTGAGCACAGAAAAAGGGGAGGAACTGACATTCTAGATACTCTGTATACTTGGTTTGCCTTTCAATAAGTGAGGGGACAGTGCTGTGACAGAGGAACAAATAGTAAAAGGAGTCTGAAATGGACAACCAGCTAGACCTGTTTCCTGGAGTGTCACCAGGTCCAGAAGCAAGGGAAGGAGGGTTTCTGGATGGGCTGGTGTGTGCCATTCCCCTCACAGTCCCTGCAGCCCATGTGCCTTCCTAAGAGCACCAGTTCCTGGGCAGGAAAGGGGGCAACCATGATGAGAAGGTAGGAAATCAAAGCCAAAATACCATCAGTGGAAAGAAAATTTGAGCAATCCATGAAAATAATACAGAGAATATTACGATAACTTCAGAAAGTCAGGACAGGAGCCAAGAGATGACTCCCTGCTGGCCATCATGGCTTGATGAGAGTCTTGGGCTTCAGGAGGTTGGCAGTTTGCTCCCGAGGAGGACAGTAGAATGCCTCCCCCGAGTCCCCGCACCCCTGCCTGCGTAGCCCATCCCAGCTTCCTTTTGTCTTTCCCTAGATGGTCCATGCCAATGAATCCCTCCCGACCCACCAAACGTGGGTTCAGCGTGAGTTCCTTCTCCCCAGGGAGACCTGCGAGTTGCCTGGCTTTACCCGGCAAGCCTACCACCAGCTGGCCCAGAGGCTGCCACCCCACTCAGATATGAAGTCCAAAGTGYACCGCCGGCTAATCCACCCTTGGAAGGACACAATCCAGCACAGCTGGGGCTTTCACACGTGGCTCGATGTGGGGCGTTTGCCTGCCACCTTTCCCACACACCCTGACATGCCCTATGACAGCAATGTCTGGCGCTGGCTGACCCACTCCAATGCCCACGACTATCCCCCAGCAGACACCCCCATCCCTCCTCCCTCCTGGATTGGGAAAAACAACTTCCTGGCCTTCATCCACTCTACCCCCATCTTCTTGGACATAAACAGGAAGAGCCAGGTGATTTTGAAGACAAAGAAGGAGCTGAAGGAGATGCAGAAACTCAAGCTGAGGAGTGAAGTCAGAGCCCCTCCACTGGACACTCATGGCAACATCGTGCCTCCCGCAAACTTCAAAAAGTAAGAGAAGCCCCTGCCTCCCAAGTTGCTCATCCTGCCCATGTTCACAGGTGACCCTTCCCTCACTCCCGTTCCTATTTCTGGTGTCTAAATTGGTACTCCAACCTGCCCATCTATGGTGTCATCCCTCTTATCCTTTTTTTTTTTAAGTTGTAGGTGGACACAATATCTTTATTTTATTTTCATGTGGTGCTGAGGATCGAACCAGGGGCCTTGCACATGCCAGGCAAGTGCTCTACTGCTGAGCCATTACCCCAGCCCCCTTTTATCCTTTTTTTGTGGTGCAGGGGATGGAATCCAGGTTTCCTCAGAGTACTTGTTGCTAAGTACATATGTAGGAGCATCCAAAAGGGAATAAGACCTAGTACCCTCCTCAAAAAGATTTCACTGTCATATTTAATTACTTTAACTGTATTACTCAATCCCCTAAGACCCTCAGGAAAGTGGGCATCTTAGATGAAGAGGTCAAGTCTTTTGCTCAAGTTCTCACAGCCCCCAGATCACAAACTTAACAGTTTTATTAACTTTTTCTTTTGTCTTTCTCTTTTTCAGGATTGGGTATTTAACCTAGGGTACTCTACCCCTGAGCTACACTCCCAGCCTTTTTTTTWWAAAAAATATTTTTTATTTGTAGATGGACACAATACCTTAATTTTATTTATTTTTATAATGTGATGCTG